TCCCTGGACTAGGATTATCTTTACGTAGTGGTTAATGCTGCTTTCACTGTATTGCTTTTGGTTTTCCTAATGATGGGAACAGTTTATCAGGCTTAAGTACAAGTCCACAATTTATTTACTGGAGTGACTTCAGCATAGCTTAGGGACAGCTGAACTGGGGTTGAATTAGCTAGGGGAGTGTCATACTACAGCTTAGCAGCACGGACACCCCAGGAAAATGGCACAAGGCTTGGCTGAGGCAATCCAAGCCTTCTAAATACTAGTAAAAGCCTCAGCCAGCAAACAGGAGAGCCCTGCTGTGTACCCAGGAGAGCTGCAGGTAGCCCACCCCAGGGGCTCCAAATGGGATAGGACTTCTGTACCCAAGCCAAGAGACCCAGAAAAAGCTTTCTCAGTCCCATACCCCCCCAACTGCCAGCCAGATGTGCCTATAAACCATCAAGTTCTCCTGGCCAAAAGCTTTCCTCTTCGTTCTGCTCACTGAATCCCCCCAGTGCCTCGCACAATAAACAGGACGCGGTTTCTAGCAACTTTATCCAAGCCTTCCTCCACTGCTGACCTAGCAATAGTGCGTATTTCTCCCAGCCCCATTGAATACTTTCCAATTTCCATTTAGGGCCATTTGGCTCATTCAGCATAGACAGCATTTGTGATATTTGGCAAATTACTCTTTTTTTCCTCATGCTTCCTATCTAAACCAATATCTTTCTTCAGGGAAAGACTAATGGTTCAGTGTTGCAGGAAAGAAAAAAAAAAAAAAACAAAACCCTATCATTGCCAGCTCCAAGTAGTAATCCATTTGTACCCTGAAACATGAGAGCTAGTATTTAATGTGAGTTTAACTTGAAAATATTATCCCACTTACTATCAACGTGCCTGTTTTGTATGGCACAAAGTGTGCAGGCAGCACGTCATTCTGAATACGGCTAGAATGATACTGGCCTCAGCACCCCATGGCAATCCTTCCCTGGCATTAATCACAGCCCTTGAGAAAGTATTTCCTTTTATCTGATTTAAATTTGTTTCCCTTAAATGTCATGGAACCTTGCCCCAGCACCTGTAATACAGCACAGGGGAAGAGGATTGTCCAAATGGCCTTGTGCATTAATTAACTGCAGCATCTTCATCTCCCCTTGCACAGAAGCCCCTCTTCCTCTCTAATCATCGCCAGACCTTCTCTGTGGTTCACTCTGTCCTTTTTGAAGTGGGGCAGCTGAAACATTCAAAGTGAAGATTAGTACTGTGATGAATCTTTGATTTCTGTTCACTAGGAACCTGAATCTCCCTGTTTGACATTTCTATTCTGCCAGTGTTCCAAAATGAATATAAATAATGCAAAATTTGCAATAATGTGATTTCTTCATTCAATTTACTCAAATTTCCGCCCCAATTAGACATCCACATTTTGGAAATTAGAAATTATTGCACGAGTGTGATTGATACAAATCCTTGCACAGAAATAACAGCAGTCAGAGAGGAGGAGAGGGCAGTTTGGCTGGCACACCGGTTCTGCCTGGCTGTGGCTGGTACCAAATACTCCCAATACATAAGAGAATCCATACCAGAGAGCTGCCGACATCATTCCAACAAGCACAGATTTTTAACGCTGATCAGTAACTTACATCCCCAGTTCAGATTGATAGCATCAATCCCTCCCCATGCCAACAGTCACAACCACCTTTGTCTTTGGTGTCCTGCTCACATGAAGGGCCATCAGCAGCCCTCTCCCTGCCCCGTGCTGTTCTCCCCGACACAGGAATAGCATAGCCTCAGACCATCTTTAGAACAGAAAAATTCATCTGCCCACCGCACAGAGAGCCCTGAGGTTCCCCCAAACACCACTGAGCTGTGGTTGCCCGAGAGGCTGCATGATGATTTGATCAGTGGAGTTGGGGCTCTGAGAGGAGGGGTGCTGGGCTAATTGGGGCAGTTAGAGCAGAGATGGCAGCGTCAGGGCTGCCCAGCAGCCAGCAGGATGTTGGCAGCCGTCAGACTCCATCTACCCACTGACAGTATTTAATCTGCGAGAAAAGAGATCCAAAGAGGGTGCCTGTCATCAGCACTGCCTGGGACCCAGAGGAAGCCTTTAAGCAGCTTAAGACACCAAGAAGGACCATCTGGGGCCAGGAGAGGAACATCAAGGGTTTTTCTTCCCTCTACACTTGCACTGCCTCTTGTCCAGCTCCTTCTCTCCCCGCTGCCTGTCCATAACACATCCTGGGAAACAGGACAAGGCACGTTCCCAGGGCAGCCTCACCAGGCTCACAGAGGCATTTGGGATGAATCCTATGGAAAGGGCAGACTTTATGGGAGGGCGCGTTGGTAGGAGGGTTGAGCACTACCCAAGGGAAGGCAGAGGTGACACCGTTGTGGCGTTAAATAGCAGTCTGTGGTCAGAGGAAGGACATTAATTCCTGGGACAGCACATGGGTGTACATATCCAAGAGGGAAGGTGTTTTATCAGTCATGTCGACACCTGCTGGCATTGTAATCCCTGGTGTAGGCAGGGCTGCCTACAGGTTCCTGCACATACATATGGGGCAAGACTAATTCCTGCACAATCCTGGCTTTAAAGCACTGCCCTCTCCTTCGTTTCACATCATTTTCACATGGCCCAGAGCTGCCTCGTTGACATTACAGCCCAGGAGCTTGGCAAGTTCGCAGAACGACTCTACCAAAACCATTTACAAGTCACAGGTCTGTGAACAGGCAGCTGAAAGCAATAAACAGGTTTTTAATGTTCGGGGTTTGTTTTGCTTCTTAAGCTCCCACATCGAAATAAAACCTCTCTGGAGTGATTTGCAGAGCCAGGAGAAGTACAGGCTTTGTCCAGCGCCAAGCTGCGGAGCAGAGGGAGCCCTGACAAGAGCTATATACCTCAGAAACATGGCTGATCATGGATGTTCTAACATTCCCATAACTATAGCACCACAAATGGCCCGGCTAAGTATTCCTGTTAACGAGACACACTTCAGGCAAGCAATTGCCATACTTCTTGTTATAATAATGTACTCAAGAGATGTGAGGATTTCATTTCTGCCTCTCCACAAGCCAGCCAGGATCTTAATTTTTTTTTTTTTTAAGGAATGATCCATTGTACTAGTAAAAAGTTTAAGTGTTGGGTTTTTTTTCAGTTTAAATTTTATTAAAACATACACATGCTTCTTGATTCTCCAGGCTTGGTATGCCAAGACACCTCTGGGCAGAGCGCGAAGCAGAGCCCTGGCAGGGAGTACGAAGGCAGGAAAAGGAAAAAACAAAAGAAAATAAAGGAAAAACTAACTTCCTCAAGAATTTTGCATCTGGAAACATCAGTCACAGCTCTACTTCGCTGAAAAGGAGGAGACATTAGGAAGGCACACACATCAGAATAATACACCCCTTTCTGAATGAATTTTTAAAAGTTTAAAAAAAGTCAGATGCGACATCAGTGTGACATGTAGTTCTCGGAGGAGGAAGAGTTAATGACCACTGACTTGCTCAAGTGTTATTTATTCTGCAAGGTTTTAGGGGGCAGAGAGGTTCATTACTCAGAACTGTAACATGCCATCAACTTTTAGGCTATACTCATTTATTTTCAGCAAGTAACTCTCCTTAAAAATTGATGTCACATTAATGTCTTTCATTACTTTAATATCCTATATGCTTTTAAAACTAACTGCTTTCTATATCTGTAAGTCTAATGTGTTACAGTTCTCAATAAAACTATTACAGCCATAAAGACTGCTTTTTAATTGGGATGGATTAGAAGACACTTAATGTGATCTACCCCAAGCTGACTATTTACAGAGCTGCATGAGGACCAGCACTGCGTCACCTTCTCAAACACAACGCACCAGGTAGGCTATGATAGCGTTTGGTAGCATTTCAGGTGATAGGCAGTCTCGTTTGCTCACGAATCAGCAGTTTGGGGCACAAGGTATTTATAAACAGTGGTTAGAATACCCCAAAGCTCTGGGACACCCTGTGTGACACTGACAGAGCCAGCACCACCTTTATGTCCAGGACAGGACCTCATTGACGGCGGCAAGAGCCACAAATCCCCACTGTCACCCCTGTCCACAGCACACCTATAGTGACTTGAGGACACGTAACTTGCAATACCCATTAAAGTAGAAACACAAGGCACACGTCCCTGGGGAGCTGCAGGACCTCTCTGTCCAGGCAGGCTGGGGGGTACCAGGAGGGCTGCAGTGCTGTGTGGGGCTGCTTGGGGTCCCTCCAGCACAGACCTGCCTTTGGGGACAGGCAGAGGCTGGGGCCAGCCCATCACACCTGCATCGCACATCCTCTGCCGGGTACAATCCGGAGCACAGCACTGGTCACTGCTTGCTAAGATCTTATCGACACATCTTTTACATAAAATGGAATGATCCTATTTTAAACACTTCTGCATCCCATCCCAAGCCCTTACTCGCCCAGGCTTCTCCTACTAGAACAGAGTTAGTTCATCAAAAATACCATGGCAGGTGACTCGTAGAACAAATGCTCTTACCCAGACAGTCAGTACACAGCATGTTTGAGGACAGATACTCTGCAGAAAGACCAAAGCTCCCCCAAAAACCTGCTTTGAGAAGCTGCTCTAACAAAGCTTGCTGGGAAGGGGATGGTATTGACCCTCTCCTGGAAAAAGATGCCCCTGGAAACAGCAAAGCCTGGAAAAAAAAAAAAAAAACAAACAAAAAAAAAAAACCAGAAAGATGCCTACAGGCAACCACCCGCACAGAATATGATTCAAATAATCCTGTCATTGGGCACAGCAGCAGGAACAGGATGGCTCTGGTTAATAAAGTGAATTTTCCTCCCAAGGGAAGCAAAGGCAGCCATGCCATCACAGCACATAGGACAGAGCCGCCCCGACTCAGGCTTTTTGGGGTCCTCTTTGGACCAGGGCTCCCTTGGACTTCAGCCTTCCAACCTCGAGGATGCATCGCCAGCCCTGCCAAGGGGATCCAAACGACAGGAGACGAAACACTCGCTGGATCGCTTCTGTGCAACACCTCCAGACAGTTCTGGCATCCACAAGTTCTTCCCCCCGACATCCATCCCAGCAGTGATCTGGCTGCTGGAGCCTCGGCGTGACCCGCACCAGGGAGCCCAGAGCAGGAGCTGCCAGCCCCCGGGTTTAATCGCTTGCAACAGAGCAGCTACAAACTTTGGCTCCCCTTTCTTTATTCTTTCTTTGCACGCAGTGCTGGTTTCACAGACTCGGCAGCACCTCCCCATTAAACAAGGTACTCCTCAGCTTCATCCTGAGTGAGGAGAGCCAGACTCCCCAAGGTTTGTGTTAACAACCTCATCTCTGCTCTCATCTGCAAGAAAACTAATTTGGATAATTCTGTCCTCAATCTTGCCGACAGTGGAATACACCTCTCCACAACAGGTTTGACAGCAGAACATGATGTGATGAAAAGACCATATTTAGGGTGGATGTAAGCAAGCCCATTAACTAATATTTCAGCAGGTTCAATGCAATCTCAATAGCGGAGTAATGCGCTGACTGGCAACATCCATCTCTGACCCCGCACAGAAAGGATGCTCGAACCCCTCCCCTTCCCCATGGGCTTGGCAGAGCAGAAGCCTGGGGTTTTATCCAGTTTATGGGGGGGCACCGGGGCAATTTAACCTCGAGGTGTAGCTTGCAATGGTGGCTGCTTTCGGTGTAAACTGCATTTTTTTTCCCCCCACAGGGATCTGAAAGCTGCAGCTGGTGTATCTACAAACAGTGATGGAACATGGCGAGAGATGCTCTGCCAGGGCAGATAGGGCGGGGGGGGGGAAGGATTGTGGCTTTGCTAAGCCCAGCTGCAGGGCGCTTGCACTTGCTTTCCAGCCTGGCACAGCAATCTCAAAATCTGATGAGAGGGGAAAAAATCCCCTTTGCTACACCCCATCTCACTTCGTTTCCAGCAAGAAGGGAGTTTTGGGAGACAGTGGAGAGGGGCACCAGGCTGCTTCCCCTCCTGGTGCGGTGGTGGGAGGTAGCTCAACAGCACCAGCAAAGTTGAGGAAAGAAGCTGTCGTGCTCATTTTTATATGTAAGTGATCTGGAGAATTATCGGCTAAATTATTTAAATGTCCCATTACTATTAAATTACTGGGCATTCATTGTAAGAACAGTCATAATACAGCAACTAATTTGGTATTAATGTGAATGTCAGCGTTTCATTGCAGTTATTTTGTACTTCATCATAAGATAATTTACCAATAAATTAATTGGCTTAATTGCTTCCTGAGAACTACATGTGACACCACATTTTAAAAGCGTTCCTGCTCACTCCCCATCCTCCTGCTTTAACCACACCAAGGGAGAACCCTCCTTTGACACACTTGGGAAGGACACGCAGAGAAAGAGGCAATGAAGTCTTGGCACATCCCTGCCCTGGGGATTTTAACGTGGTTTAAAAATAGCCCCCGAGGAGCAGGAGCCCAGATTTGGATGCCAGCACCTGCAGCTCCTGCAGATGGGCTGGGGGGAGGGGCTGTGCAGCGTCCTGGGGGTGGGCAAGGAGCACATCCCCAGCACCCAGCCTCCATCCAAGACAGGGGAAGCATCGGGGGGTCGTTCTTGCCCACCTCCCTGTTGTGCAAATTCCCCACATCACCTTCCCCTCCCCAAAATCCCAATAACCCGCAACCCCCATCAGCCAAACCAGCTGGAGCAGGGACCAGGCTGCAGCTGACAGACCAGCTCCAGTTGGAAATAAGTTGCTACCAGTTTGCCACAAGGCTCTCCACCAAAAAGTAGTGCTGTAACCAAGGGTTCAGGTGTGCAGCAGATACCCTATCGATCCTAAAACCCTGTCAATGAGCCCAGGAAACACGAGCAACTACCAAAGCGCTTGGAACAGGATGAGTAAGAAGCCAAAGCCAAATCCAAGTGGAGCCTTAAATCATGAAGCATCACCTCCACACACCACGGTACAGCACCCACCAGCTGCCCGGGAACAGCCCCCAGGCACCGTCCCCATCGGCACCCCTGCAGGAGATGCACCCGAGCCCAGCAGCGAGCTCTGGGGATGCAGCCCCATCCCAGCAGCCGGGGAGGAGGGAGGAGGACGGCCCTTGCTGGGTAAAAAGCAGCAGCAGCCAGCCCCAAGTCACGCTTTTGCCATGTGCCCTGGGTATTATTAGGTCCCTGGCTCATGCCAAGCACTGGGGCTCTGCCGCTGTGGCCGGAGCCCTTTAATCAGACTCGTCTCCCATCCCTGCCAGCTCTGCGTGAGCTATTTTGCCTCGCTAGCCTGTACAGGCTTATTTAGAGATGGGGTTATTGGGAGTGCTGCTGTCTTCCCAAAAGCCAGCTCCTCCAGCACCAGGTTTTGTTTTTTTGCTTTTTTGTTGTTTCCCTCCACCCCCCCCCCAGACCTCTCTGGCAGCCACAGCAAGTCTCCGAGAGTTCCCACCCCTTTATTCCCCAGGAGTTTAGGAACAGTTTATCTCTGTTTTCTTCTCCAGGAGATGGAAAAAAAGCTCCACCGGGAGCCCAGTGGCTAAGGACAGCTATTTTCTCCAGTCTCTCGGTTTAAATGTTTTTTAATAAATCAACAGGGCTCTGGGAACAGATTGCACCGGACTCAGGGCTTTGGCATGTGCTCCTCCACCCTCAGGGAGAGATCAGCCCAACGGCAAAATGCTGCTAAATCTTTATTTATGATGATTTGCCCTGATCCTGGGCAGTCTCCACCACACCAGGCTGGCAAACACTCCGGTTACAGGTGGGAGCAGCCCAGGGGAATCCAGCTCCTTCCAGCACACCCTGGCCAGGGAGGACTCCCACCCACACAGCACCTGTTGTAGCCCATCAGGGGAGAAAAATAAAAAACCACCAACACAAACCAAAAGAAAACCCAAAAAAAACACAAAGCAAAAAATAATCTGAAAAAAACCCCATTTCTCAGCAAAACACCCCAAATCCGATAATACAAAGTGAAGCTGACTGTTCTATTAACTCCCATACTGCATCAGCAATTTTCTAAAAGTGTGGAAACGTTATAATTGACTTTTCTGCTAGTAGCAAAATGTCATTTTTTCTTAATACTAATACTTCCTAAGTCAGTAACGCATTTCAAAAGCCTCCAATGCCACTACCGCAACAGGACTTACAAATTAGCACATTTTTAGCTTTTCATTAAACACAATACGCCAAAAAAAAAAAAAAAAGGCTCATCATATTAGGGTTTCTCTCCTCATTATTGAAAGTACTGTGACTTTGGAACTTCGCGCAGCAAATTATAATGCACTCAGCCTGGGTCCATTGTCAATCAAGG